CACGACGCTAGAACGCTTCCGCTTTTTCTCATCTAATCTCAAGTTAATAATTATGACATTCATTGTAAGAATGAAAATTATCTTTAGTTGGTTTTTACAATTTTTAATACTCGACTTTTGTAATAAAGATATTTTATTATTAAACGATATAAAAATTAAATATAATCGTTTGTTTATTTTATTATGTATTCACGTACCTGTCTGGCCGTTCGGTCACGATCTCTCCCCTTGCTTATATTCATTTTGTCTTTCATTATCTAAATAAAATATTGTATAGTAATTATGAAGAAATAAATTTACCGTATTATTATTTTTAAATATATTATTTATTTATGCAATACCTTAACTTCCGCGCGAGTTTGTTCAATGAAATTTCGTCTAATTGTTAATTCTTTATTGCCGACTTTGAAACTGTTTGGATTTTTCTCGATGATCCGTGTTCAATTAATTCAATTAAGGAAAATTCAATGCAATTTATCTACAATAATTTAATTAAGCTGCAAATAATCATTGCAGATCGTTCATTAAAACATACGCTAATATTATTAGCGACGAAAGATGTGTTTAATATCGCAAGTAAAAGTTAACGTGACAAATTTTCCACAATATAAAATGACGCAATAACAAGCCAATTTAATCGAAACACATAACGAATATTATTTTTTCAGTATTAGCCATCAATGATTACTATCGTATGTATCGATGGGCATATTATGCTCGGCTTTATGCCGATGAATTTCATCTTAAAAGTTTGCTCGAAAGTCTCATTTAAATTTCGATAAACCAACGCTAATTTTAAATCCCACGTAGACCGATAATAGATACGAACAAGCTTAATGTCCTCCCCCATCTATCGGTATTTTAACTTTCCCCTCGAGGCAGTTCGTTTTCTAATCGAAATTTTATGCCCGTGCGCGTATCGCTTATAAAGTTCATTAAAATTAGCTTTCATCGCGCCTCATCTTTCGTCGGGAACGAAACGAACGACGCTGCGCGTTGACAATCGATCAAAGCTCACAGCCATTATAGAGGGAGGAGACTCGTACGAATTTATGTACACGAGGTGCAGTGAAAGGCTCGAGAAAGCCTACATTGAAAAACCCGTGCTTCGGCCATTGCTGAAATAAAATAGGAGAAAAAGAGGAGATATCGTACAATTGATTATTCGAGTATCAAAGTGAATTCAAGCTGATAAGATAATCTTAAATATCCGTGTTATTCGAATAAGGCTCATTGAATTAAAAAAAGCGGCGTTGTGGGTTGGCGAAATTAATTTTTTCAAAGTATTCGAGACCGAGTTCTGTAATAGCACAAGACGGTAATCGTAGATGATATTGTGATCATTGTCTCGATCCCAAGTGAGATGTCTAGATCCGCGGCGATAAATTTGACGATATTTTGACGTGACATCGGACGTATTAGATCCTAGATTAATCTAGTCAATAATAACGTAATTAATAATTAAGTCTAGTGGCCGAAGCATCGAATGAAACGTCGCTTGTGATTGCGATGTCGAAGCTTTAAGAATTAAAAGCTAAATCGCGTTACTAATACTTCAGATTTGATTTCCTTTTTTTCATCTTTTCACAAATAATCTGTCCTGTAAACTATGGTATATTGAATTTTGTAAAATGTTGTATTTTATTTTAGTGCGCGAATGAAATAATAGAATAAAATGTAAACGAGGTTATAAATTATAATTTCCAGATATACAAATTAAACGCGCGATGAAATTAAAAATCATAAGCTTAATAATGAATTTCACTTAGGTACTTTACTTTATATTCTTCAATTTAATAGTTTTGTTTTTATCTTGTTAATGCATTATTCTTTTACGCAGATTTGATAGTGACAATATCATGAAAATACTTTTAAGATATTTGAATTTGAATGCGAGTTTGCGTCTTATTACTTATACAATTGAAATTGAAATTAATTTAAAAACTTTCGAAAATAAAAAATTATAACTATCATAATTCTTTGAAAATTTCACACAATCACAAAACTCTAATTTCATTACAAAACTAATTTTCAGTCGCTTCATAGTATACCAAATTGTTATTGTCATTTACATTTTTATCGTTTTATGTTAAATAAAAAAAAAAACTAAAAGCAGCTGTTTGGGCGCAACCGAGCGAATATTAAATGTAATGTATGCAATACTTTCACAATCGCAAGAGTATTCATAAACTTTTTTTAAACGCGGTAATTCATCCAGAGCTACGTAAAGAGTAGAAAACCTTTGCCAATTCATAATACGAACGTAATATAAAAAGGATATAGATCGTATCTTCCAGATCTTCAAGATCCCATTCAATGGAGCGCAAGGCGTTCCTAAGTTCGGTGCTCGTCCATTCAAGTTCTTCGCGAGTGTTGAGCTTAAGCAGACCCCTGGCCAATGTCGGTGTCGGAGTCTCCACGACCTTTCCGCCTTCGGCCACAACATTCTGTAAATCCGTCCAGCGCGAATATAGGCCCCGCGTTTTGTTTAGGGCCCTGCTCACCTCCCTGAAAATCCAAATAAAAAATTAGCATCTTTTGTACGGTCTCGCGGTGTGCTTAGCGCTGGCTTTTGAAATTATAATTGCGATGCTGAGGTGCTATTTAATATTACGAAGTAGTGTGTTGTCGAATGGGGTTGGGGCGATATCCGGTTATCAACGACATCGACAATTTATTATGGTTTACATTATTTTGATTATAAAATAGAATTATCGACCAAGCTTTTTCCTTTTTTTTTTCTTTTGATTTTAAAGGCTTTTAATATGGAATGTTAAGTAATTTTCCAAGTTTCAAATGTCCATTGTTCGTATTATAAACAAATTGTCAGATACTAAAATTTTTATTTTCTCCTCTGGAATATTTGTTTATGAAAGTTTATGTATTTAAATAGTTGCGTAAACACAAATGAAACTTATTTAAAATTCTGTATTCTGGCTTTAAGTGATTTCTTGAGATTTAGTTCGAAAGTAAATTGATACCTTAGAGTTGATTTTATTGAAAGCTAGGACATTGTCATCTATTTATTCTAAAAATGAAATGGTCATAAAAAAAAGTATATAATTATTTTTAGTAAGTATAGGAAAGTCGTTAAATTGGGATTATAATTTGTAGGATTTTTCCAAAAGTACACCGCAGAGAAATAATCCTTAATTAATAATAGCATTATAATACCTAGTTAATTGCATATTTTCTCAAACTGTATACTTTATCTATGTCGTTGATTAAGTAATTAGCTTTTAAATTACCTTTAAATTTAATTGTACGGCCAAGTTTTGATTGAGTTTAAGGCAGTGCTTGATTTTAATTGAATAATTATTGTTAAACATACATAAATTGTCTAACTTTTTATAATTAATTTTTATAAAAAATTTAATTATAGAGCGATAATATTTATATGTATATAAGCTTTAATGTATTGCTTATAATATTTTGGAAAAACTAAATTTTAATTAATTGATTTATATTACTTATCAAAGTAAGAAAATATAAAAAATAATTTTATTAATACATGTATTGAATTAATGGAGTATTATTATATTATCGTGTTTTAATAATAGAGATTTTTATACCTTTAATAGTTTATTCCGTAATAGTCGAGGAGAAAAAGTTATACGAATAACATTTAAATTTGAAAGTATTATGAATGTAATATATGTTATGAAATATCTGCCATAAATCGATCGGGACGTACAAAGAATACAAAAGATGTAAATAATAATATTAAAAAAAAAAAAAAAAAAAAAAAAAAAAAAAAAACAGATAAAATTTTAAATAAAAAATAATAAATTTATCATTGCTTTAAGCAGTATGTAATGTTTTTAGTATAAAAGAGCAAGTATATCCAGATTTGCTTCAGGCTTTACTATCTAGGTTAAACGTATTATTTGCTTAGACTTGCAATATATAAAAAGGTCATGCTATTGGATAAATATATTAATTTTTTAATAAGCTATAATGTATAACCGTATTGTTCTAAAACATTCTAAATCATTAATTCAATAAAATTAATAAATTGGATACATCAATATATTATCAGATGTATCTCTACTTGAAATGACGTTTGTAGGTATAATTTTATTTAAATTTAAATATAATTGTAAAATTTTACTTAGAAGATTAAAAAAAAAAAAAAAAAAAAAAAAAAAAAACAGATAAAATTTTAAATAAAAAATAATAAATTTATCATTGCTTTAAGCAGTATGTAATGTTTTTAGTATAAAAGAGCAAGTATATCCAGATTTGCTTCAGGCTTTACTATCTAGGTTAAACGTATTATTTGCTTAGACTTGCAATATATAAAAAGGTCATGCTATTGGATAAATATATTAATTTTTTAATAAGCTATAATGTATAACCGTATTGTTCTAAAACATTCTAAATCATTAATTCAATAAAATTAATAAATTGGATACATCAATATATTATCAGATGTATCTCTACTTGAAATGACGTTTGTAGGTATAATTTTATTTAAATTTAAATATAATTGTAAAATTTTACTTAGAAGATTAAAAAAAAAAAAAAAAAAAAATGAAAAAACGGGTACAAAATGAAAATTGAATATTATTTACTTATTAATAAGTAAAGCCTTCAAATTCTTGACATTTTCTTAGAAGATTTTCTAGATTAAATATGTTCACTACTTTTGCACTATAAGAAAATTAATTTTTTTATTTCTTTATACATTTTAATATAAATTTTGATTAGCATATTATGTATAAAGTAAAGATTATTAAATTATAAAACTTTAAAATTTTATTTGCATTTCGATCGAATAAAATAATGTTACACTAATTTAGGCATAACGTGAAGAACTCTTATCTCATGTTCAATATAAATTATATTAAAACATAATGTACGAGAATATCGTTAATAAAGACAAGGTATTACACATTTTGTCGATCAAAGAAGGTTAAATATTTTATGAGTTATAAAATTTCTAGTTAGAATCGATTATTTATATGTCTCTTTCCTATGAAATATAAACAGTCGTATTATTAACATTAATTTTCTCAACGATAAAATTTAGAATTATTTAAAACTAATGTTATTTTGAATTTCTTTCATTTAAAAAATTATACACATAATTATACACATAATTATACACATAATTATATAGATTGTTATTTACAACATTTTCTATATAAATATATATAAAAGATAATTATATACAACATTATATACAATATTTAAATTATATACATAATTAATCATTCGAAAATGTATTTAAAAATATACTAGGAAAGCTATTGACGTTTGATTATTACAAACTGTTCTTATTATATGCCAAAAGCTTTAAAATTTATTTACTATCTAATATGTAATCGGTTACTATAAAGTATTTTAAATAAAATAAATTTAGAGATCACTATTCCAACTATAATTAAAACTATTAATAAACTAATAATTTTACAAATATTATTGAAAATTTTAAGGAAATGGATAATTAAAATATATATCTATTACATACTATCTATTACAAAGAATAAAAAAATTGAAAGCTCTCGTAAATCAAAATATTCTCAATCTAAACGTGATAGAAATACTATAGGAATAAATAGTACACTATAAATGCCATTGTCGACATTACGTTCTTTGTTACAGAATATTCCATTTAAAGTATTATATGATAAAGATATTTGTTTATCATTTAACATAGTTCTCAACTAAATTTTATTTGGCCATATCTGAAAATTAATCAATTTCTATTAAATTTCTAAACATTTTTTTTTCCGATAAAATAATTCTTAATAAATAAAAGGTAATATCATTAATAAATAATAAATATATACATACACATAAATAAATAAATAAATATATATATATATATATATATATATATATATATATATAGTATCAGAAAATTAAATTAAAAGAATGAAACGATTATAAATTGATTGAAAATAATTGATTCTTAAGTAATAAGTAAATTAAATTTATAACAATAAACTTTTTTATAGTATTTTATTTTGACAAATAATTAATAAATTGTAATTGTTTTTATTTATAAATATATCACCTATTACAGATAATATACATTAAGTTTGATTCGCGCACGTTCTGAATGTCCGTATATTGACAGAAAAATTAATTATCCAAATAATAAATAATTAGTAATAAATAATTATCCAAATAATAAACAATGTTAATTTTATAAAGCATTGAAGTGATTATAAATTTTCAATCCTTTGCTTACTTTGTTAAAGTCCTGTTTGTCAATGCATATTAAATTTATTATTTGTCATAGCCCCCCCCCCCCAATGTTATCACTCATTTACCTATTAGTATTATTTTAAGGCGCAATTAACGAGAGATGGAATATGACCCCGTTTAGATCTTAAAACTATAAAGTATGTATGTTTTTAGTCACATTTTACAGCGACGTAAATTTATGAACACAACCGAGTGAACAAATGATACGTGTAGAGATAAAAATGAAAGAGAGTAAGGAAAAAGGTGACAATGTGCTAAGGGTATGGGCGAGAGGAGAGGGGTTGAAACGAGTTCAATGCCAAAAGATATATGTGAAAACTAGTGCGCACACAAGCCTATGCGTATGTATAGGTACAGATGAATATGATAGAAGGGTAAGTGGTAGATAACGATCGATAAAAAATGTATTTAGCTTTAGACGGTAAATGAAAGGAAAAATCACAAGGATGATTAAAAAATTATTTTACCGTCAATTATTTAACTATCTGTTCAGCCTAAGAATATCTTTTAATAAATAAATAATTGAAAATTTGTAATCTATATATATGTGTGTGTGTGTGTGTGTGTGTGTGTGCGTGTGCGTGCGTGCGTGCGTGCGTGCGTGTGTGTGTGTGTGTAATCGTGTAATATAAAAGCTACGAATATGTTATTTATTTAATTATTTAAAATACACACGTATTAACAATTTACATAGTTAAAGTATTCAATAAACATATAAAGTTATCAATAAATTAGCATTTAAAAGTTATTTTGTCATGAATATATTAGTATTATGTTAGAGTTTAATTATAATATGTTAAAAGCATTAAGTTAAAATTATTAACGAAAATATAAAAGTTATTTAAATTTAATTAAAAAGAAAAAAGAGAAAAAAAATCTAATATTTCAATAAAAATAAGTGAGAAATGAATTTTTGTTGTTAGTATTTATCTCTCTCTCTCTCTCTCTCTCTCTCTCTGTCTCTCTCTCTGTCTCTCTCTATCTTTTTCTGTTTCAAGCGGATGCTCATATTGCCCAGGGAAGCGACAAAAAGTGTCAATGATCGCATGCGTCCGTGTACAGATATCCGAGAGAATCTCGTTTTTTCTTTAGGTTGAAATGTGAAAAATACTCTCTAAATCGTTGAACTCGGGAAATAGGTTGCTGTGTTATGAAAAAATATACTTAAATATGAAAATGGCAGGAGCATCGGCCCATGAATCGCCGCCTCCGTCATATTCCGCATACGCAATTATTCTCCCATGAGGCGCCACCATGAATCGCCTTATTATACGAGCACTGCTTAAGTCACATTATCAATGCACATTTTATACATCCGCGTAATTAATGCAACAACAGAGTAAATTTATCGTTCCTACGATAAGGGTGGCAAAAGTATCTTTCTTGCATAATGCTACATTTAGCACGACGAAACTCCGTTCTATTTTCTTTTTTTATCACTCATCGGGAGTTTTCAATAATTTTGCACATCTACGGAATTTCAATTCCTTCATTTTTTCTTCATATGCAACTTCAGCATAAATTGATGTCTTTATCACTCTATATATATATATATATATATATATATATGTATATGTATATATATGCTTGTCGGAATAAAGCCTTAAAATAAAAATGAATCGTTTTAAAGTGAATATTATTTTGGATGCAGTTAGCCTTGGATGCACAAATTTTTAAAACTATTTTTCAAAAACTTTTGTACATTGAACTAAAACAATTATTCATAATAATTTTGCAATGCTCTCTTCAATTTTTTTACTCTAGCTAATCTATTGTTCAAGTCTAAATTTAAGATGATAAACTTAGTGTTTAATTTGTTCCTTTAAGTATATCCTTTAAATAAATATGTATTTCGTAAACATACATTGGAATAAAATGGATTCTTTACCTAAATACCATGAGCTTCGGTGCTATTAAATTTATTTTTAGAATTTCTACAATCGGTTTGTTCATTTATTTGTTTGCAATGTCTGATCTCGCTTCTTTATAATGTAATGGGTATTGAAATTTACATTAAGCGCTTAAAATGCAGAAATGATATTGTTACACTATGAAAATAATGCAGATTTATTTTTTAAAGTAAGTAATAAAATGTTTATTTGAGAATATCCGAGCTATTTGAACGCTGCTGTTATCAACAAAGTTTTAATTCAATATCTCTCATGTATATCAAATGAATTATAAAGTGAAGTAAATTTACTGGGCATTCAGTAGCAACATTGTTATAAAATAATTACTTATGAATGAATGTAATCAAGTGCCATTCATACCTCATAAGCATCCTTCTATCCGTACCTTAATAATGTGTTTTATAGTGGGTAATAATTTTCATATTACGTACCATAAATAACATCACTTTGCTTAATACAACTAATACATTCTCAAGGTCTAAATATTTTTTCTATTAAGATGCTGTCTTTATTCAATATGTTTCTTAATGTATTATTTTTCATGGCATATATTTATGAGAATTGTATAAATTCCTTGAAAAAATCGATACAATTGATAATAATGCAATTAAAATGTATTGCGAAATTTATTATACATCGTATAGACGATAAGCTATTTAAAAGTATAAAAATGCAAAGTTCTGTCATTTATAATCGACAAATTATATTGTATATTGCATATATAAAATCATTGGTTATTGATAGGTTCATAGCTATTTTTTTCAATATTTTTATAAATAACTTGCTTAATAGATAAATTCAATTGTCTAAAATTATCTGTATTTCATGGAGTCTGAATCAGATTTAACTTGACACAAGTGGTAAAAAATATTGTTTTAAATGTTTCTGTTAGATAGAAAATTTTCATATGACTTACTAATGAGTTTAGCATTTTACTCCAGAAATTTTCCACTTTCATTTGATAGGGAAATACATAAATTATTTTCTACAAAGCAGCAATATAGTTATAAAATATATATGAAGTAAATGTAATAAATATCATTTTAAAAGACAGTTTTTTTATTATTTGCTCATGCATGTAAATTACTATATTTCACATGAAGATACCGAAACGTCATTATTCAAATTTGAATATGTATTTTTGTTTTGTTTTGTTTTGTTTTGTTTTGTTTTTTTTTTTTTTAAATTCTAACGCACAATTTTATTTCGCCATAAAATTGTCTGACCAAGTAAATGCACAGCTAATGGAGTTAATATTCTCGTTATATTTGAAATGATACAACATTTGAATTAATACCAACTAAAAGTTGTTATGCTTACTAATTCAAATGACGTCTCATGAGCACGAAAATTTATTTCTGAAAAATATAATTATCCAAACTTATTTATTAATATTCTCTTCAATTTAGCTTATTAAATGTATTTTAAGTAAAGAATATAATTCGAGTTTTTGAATACAATTCGAGACAGAAATGTTTTTGTTAAAATTAAGATTTATAATTATTCAAAATATTGTCAATTACATGATAGAAATTTATTGTATAGAATTAAAATATGTTTGAAAATTTTATTATAATTTTCACTATATTAATGTAATAAGCAAAAATAGTTTTGGCTAAATTGTTATAAAAACTGTACATTTAATATTGTAATTAATTTATTTTTATGCAATTTAAATAAGATATATTTTTTAGAAAAGCTAATAGCACAGAATTCAATATTAAAGCTTCTTAAAGAACTAAAAGCTGCATCAAAATAATATTCAATGTATATATTGTAAACAATCATAATGATAAAAATGTTGAAATGAAAAGTTAAAAATATTCTTGTTGCGAGTAGCAAAGAATCAGGTTTTAATATGTTAAAGTACCTAACACTCTTATCAATCTTTATCAATTCTTGACTCATGACATCTGACTCAAAGGGATATTCTTTTATGATTAATAAACAGAATTTCACTTTATAAAACGTCATAAGCTTCGTAAATTGTAAACATTAATATATAACAAGTATATAGATGACGAAGATATAAGATTTCATTCATTTACAGTATTAATTATATTAACATATAACCGCCAATCTTAATTTGTAATTTATTTTTATTTTTAATATAAGTTAATATCTCTTTTTATTATAAGACATTTATGATATTAAGAATTTTTGTAATTTTAATTTTAATAATTTTTATCCATTTTTATGCATCTCTTATAATTCATTTATAAACTCTTAACTTATAGAATACTTTTTAGAATTTAAGTATATTTATGAAGTAAAAAACTGAGTAGATCAAAAACAACGATAAATCACCGATAATAAATAATTCTGCCTTGAATGATATCAGCTTTATCTACTTAATGCACATCTAAGAAAAATTATCTTTACAAATATTTTGATTCGTAGATTATTTATAATCAAAACATTTGAGTTTACGAATTTCTTAGAAAAGTTAATAAAAAAAATTATAAAATATAGTTTAAAGTGACGAAAAAGTTTTTTTGCATCAATAATCTATTACAAATAATTTCAAATTGATTTAAAAATCGTTAAAACTTTACTTGAAATCAAAGTTAATAATATTAAATTGTCATTTATTTTATGAATTTATTCATTCAAAATTTTCAAATGTACATTGCAAAATGTTCCTAATTAATGTCACTTTATCGCTGACGTAAAATGCATTAGAAATTATCGAATAAAATTTCGAATTAAATGATATTGTTTATAAATGAAATCCTACAATTTGTATTATTTCAAAATATTTTGCCTCCATAAACATATCTTTTTTTACATAAAATATTTATATTTAAAATATACTGTCAAAATATGACTTTCAAACAGGCGCAAATTAATATTTAGTTTTTTTTAATTATATTCTAAAATTAGGGTTAAGTTTTCTTCTAATTATTTTTAAGGCCTTTAATATTAATTATTGTAATCTAATGTAAATAATGTTAATATGTAATTCTATATCTTTATCATTAAAATTTATCAGAAAAAACTGTGTTTCTTTTTAATATAATATTATAATAAATGTATAATTTTAAGCACGATACAAGTAAATATTAACGACGAAGAATAATCAACAATAATATATGAAGAAAAAATTAATTTTGTAAAAGTATGGAAAAACATATATTTTATTTATACTTGAATATTAATTTGTATTATGATAACTTGTGTATGGCTTCATTTTTCACGCTCTATCTCGGATATCTTTTATTCCCCAATTACATTCAAATAATATTTAATATGTCTACAGTGTTATGATACACATTTGTATGGATAGTATCGTATTTTGAATAAAATAATGGAAATCACGAGTAAATTTCCGTTAACCCTTCAGTTAGATACTTTTCCTTCGATGACAGTGGGAGAGAGAGAAAGAGAGAAAGAGTGGGAGAGAGCAGGAGAGTGAGAGAGAGTGAGAGAGTGAGAGAGAGAGAGAGAGAGAGAGAGAGAGAGAGAAAGAGATAGACCGATTGTGTGAGGGGGAGAGAGCCAGTCAGGTTTCGTGTATACGAAGTAGCGAGTTGAGTAAGATGACAGGTGCGTCGTCCTTTAAAGACAAATAAAACGAAAAATATCCTCGCAAAAATGCAAAATAAACGTAAAAGAAGGTCAGCAGGGACGGCCTTGGACAGCAGCCCCAGGCGCTCTCTACACATTGCGTTGGTCGGATGGTTTTGATGGTGGCGAGTGGCGTGGTTGGCATGGTTGTCGTGGGCGGTGGCGGGGGGATGGGGGGGGGGGTTTAGTCACGCCCGGGCATAGTACACTTTTTCCACTCACGTCCGAGCATAGTACACTTTTTCCACTGTGCATCAACGGCAAACGCTTAATAATACGATAAGAAAGTGAACTCTAGCCCTCTTACTCCTTGACGACGAAGAACGGGTCCTCTAGCGTCATGCCTCGGCCTTGGATCTGACAGCCTCGTGCTCCTCACTCACTTTCACCCACGCACTCCCCGCTGACAGGGGCGACCCGCGGTCTGGTGCATAGGTGCCGCCCTCCGGTGAATCCCCCGGACCGTCGGCACCGACCGTACGCTCGCGCCTCGAGGCCTCGACGGTGGCGGCCGTGGCGTGGCGCTTGGTTCCGGTGCTCGCGCTCGCCGACTTGCGACTGCTCGGAAGTCTCGGACTCGCGCCGCCGTAGACGAGCGTCCACTGGCGGCTGCTTAGGTCGACGAGCACACAGGGGGATGCGCTGGTGGGAGGATAAAGAGTATGAGGAGAATGAGGAGGAGGAGGAGGAGGAGGAGGAGGAGGAGGTGAAAGAGGTGGTGGAGGAGGTTGAGGAGGTGGAGAAAGAGGATGAGGGGGTGGTAGTTGTTGAAGAGGAGGAGGTGGTGGTTGTTGAAGATGAGGAGGAGGAGGAGGAGGAGGAGGAGGCGCGATATTGATTTCGATGGCGGGAGAGGCGGACGGCAGCGCGCTCTGAGGGCCGTTCGAACTTGGCGCGCTCCAACCTGTGTAGGTGGATGATATCGCAAGGATATGTTGATTGTCGTTGATGAGGGGTTCGAGAGTGCCACAGCTCCTTCACTCCTTAGCCCAAGATTACGTATTAAGGGCGTGTGTATGAAGCGACGGTTACCGAGTTGTTCTCTGTGCTAATGGTCGCTCCGACGTATCATATAACCAAATTATTGGATCCTCGGCATAATATATTTGGTATCCGGTACATTCGACATCATTAGAATTCAGTGTTTATACCTGTGTTGGTGCAAGGGGAGATAATTTTCAATTATTTTACGTATCCAATTGTAGTCGTTGGCTCGTATAATTCTAGATTTTTATTCGACGTTTTGTGTCCATATAGGATTACCAAATGAAAATTGAGTGGAAATAGCTTTTATATTTATTTGATATGTGATATTCATAATATGTGTATATATATATACATGGCTGGACAAATGGTAGAAATGTATGATAAGTATATAATGTAAAAAGCATATAACGTGGGGTAACGTTAAAACTCAAAGTATCTTTTAATAAAAATCTATAATTATTTTTTTTCTTTTGTACTTACAATTGACAATACATGTATATAGTTTTCACAATAGTAACGGTATTCGTAAGAGTGTCAAAAGAGTCGAACATTAGTATTTTTATTTTCTGTCAATGTGTATGTATCAGTTAAGAAACAATGTGTCAAAAATAATTACGGCGATTTGATTGACATAATTTACAAACTTCTTTTATATGCAATAGTCATTATATAAAAAGACATTTATTCAGCAATTTCTATTTCTTTAATACCAATGAATATATTTCAAGTAAAAAGTATTATTATGTATATTTTAGATCAAATGATTGATTACATTACATTTTAATGAGTGATATTTGAGTTCCAAATTAATTTTCTATTTTTCATACAGAATTATTATTTTCCCTTAAAGTAATAAGAAAGCACTTTCTATAAATCTTATTCGTACTAAAATCCTTGTACTAAATAGGTGATTGTATAGTAAATCAAGAGTTTTACATTAATTCACATGACGTATCTATCTGCTTCAATATTCTTAATAACATAAATAATTAAAATACTTTAAATGAAAAATAAAAACAATCCAGTTTTTTTTTCATTCTTTAAAATTAATTTGTAAAAAATATTTTTTTCGTATTTTTTAACTGATATTTTGTAAATTTTAATCACTCAATTATTTAAGTGTAATATTGCCGTCTCAACGATTTGTTGCAATTATTCTCCAAGTCTTGATTATTTTTCACTATTAGATTGCAATTTTGTTATAATTCATTCAAAGGTAATGAGCATCATAGTTGTATAATAAGAGTGAGTAGCATTGTTAAAATAGAACTACACATGGTAAATTAAAGTATCACAAGCTCTGCATAATTGATCTATTTATAATGTACAAACGTACATTAACACAGTGAATCAGAAATTTATCCGAAATATTTTATGATTATAATAATATATATTGATATAATTTCATAATATGAATTGAAATAATTCTTAATTTTAACAAGAGAAATAAAGATCGTGACAATGATGTATAAAATTAGAAATAAAATTTTATTTCACAAGATTGTAGTTAGTTAAATTCTCTATATAATATATTAAAATATCTTACATAATACCGAATCATTATATGTTAAAATTTTTTTATTTTGGCTCTTTACCATCATGTAAGCAATATATGCTCTTTTATTATTAGTGTTATAAAATTTCATAATTCATCTTCATATTGTTTTCATAATTAATAGAATTATGTACCTTAGAAGATTATATTAATAGCTCGTAATGTTTCAAGATTTTTTAAAATATTTATAGATAATTTAAAAAAAAATTATAAAATCTAATGGCTACTATTATTATTTCCAGGCAAAATATAGCCATAAAATTAAATTATAAGTTTATTTAATGATAATATCGATATAAGTGATGAAGGTTTTGAAAAATAAATAACCCAATTAAATAATATCTTTGCATATTTTAAGTGTATAGATTAATAAATTCATTGCTGCTAAAATAATTGAAGATTTATCATAAAATTATGTATATATAATATAAAGAATAAAGATATAAGGAACATTTTAATTAATTTTAACAAAATCAATTTAAAAAAAGCATTTTTTAACGCTTAATTTATTATTTCAATAATGCTTTTTCAAAGATGATTAATTTTATATAATTTTGTATAGTTTCTAGATAAAATATGATAATTATAACTGACGAAATAAAAAGATTATTTCTACGCAGGTTATTAGCAATATCAAACAAATGTATAAAAAATAAATTAGAAGTAATAAAATAGCAAAAATTATATAAATTTGTTGCCTGATGTAGCTTTATATAGATAATAATATTTATGATAAAAATAAAAATTTTTTTTACGCTAATATTACAAAACTTTTTAAAGATTTCATAACAAAATGAAATTCAATTATTTATATTTATGTTATATATGGAAACTGGAAAACACTTTTAAATAAAAAAGTTATTTATTTAGAGTTTTTTTTATGAAATTTCAACAATCCGTGACAGTTTATATTTTGCTTATCTATGAATTTATTATCAATAATTAAATTAAGATTCACAAATAATGATTAAAATAACGTTTACAATTTTATAAATTATTATCAATACTTCAAAAATTACTTTTTTAAAACAATCAATTAAGAGTTATATAAGCAAACGAAGGAGAATAACACTGTAATAAAAACATATAAAAGGACAATTATTTTTTAATAAACAATAAAAAATTCGATAATTAACTTGTCTATTCCATATAAGATACCATGACAATTTATATGAAGTTGTATGGCAACTTAACTTTTCCAATATTGCTTAAAGTGAAGTTGGCTGTATATATTTTTTTAAGTTACGGGATTAGGCTGATTGCAGCGCAGTTTGAGAGTGTTCCAACCGGAAAATTGTTTTGTCATTCTCGAGCCGTAGCAATTATTCACCTTTAATTTATTAAATATTACTCTTTAAGAAATTTGATCAAACATGTCACTTATTCAAGATTATATTCCAAGAAATTTACCTGATTATGCTACTCAGGCCCCTAAACAATTTCAATTTAATCCGTATGCCGACAACGGAGGGTAATTTTCTTTAAGTATAACCTATAATACATATAAATAATCTCATTGTTAAATAACCATTAAAAATATTTTATTTGAATATAATTGATAATAATATTTATTAATTTAATGTAACATTTCTATGAAATACAAGAGCATATATTTTAGTTAAAAATTAGTCTAGGATTGTAATATTTATTGTAATTTTATTTTTTAGGAGTGTTGTGGCTTTAGCTGGTGATGATTTTAGTTTAATAGCAGCAGATACGCGTCTGAGTACTGGTTATTCAATATATTCACGTAAGCAGGAGAAATTATTCAAACTTTCTGACACTACAGTGTTAGGCTGTTCGGGATGTTGGTGCGATATTCTGACCCTTACCAGAGTAATATCTGCACGTATGCAGGTATAAATATTTGTATTATCTACTCGATTGTCCGATGATTTAAATTACTTGGTTTAATGTTAAGAATACCATTTATTATAGATATACCAACACGAGCATCATAAAACTATGACAACTTCAGCAACTGCTCAAATGTTGTCGACCATGCTTTATTATAAGAGATTCTTCCCATATTATGTTAGTAACATCTTAGCTGGATTGGATAATGATGGCAAAGGTTGTATTTATAGATATGATCCTGTTGGACATTGTGAAAAAAATACATACGTAGCGGGTGGTTCAGCTGGAGCTTTATTGCAACCATTATTGGATAATCAGGTACTCTTTATTTTAACCTCCAAATTATATTGTAGAAAATTGTTTTTTGTAGTACAAAAAATTTATTATATAAAATTAAAAGATTAAAATAAATATCAGTTAAATGAATAAATGAAAATGAAAAAAGAAAAGGAGAAATTCCACCTTTGATTATGAAATTAATGTAACATATTATTCTAGGTCGGTTATCTTAATCAAGAAAATGTAGAAAAGATTCCGTTAACTAAGGATAAAGCCTTATCCGTTGTTAAAGATGTATTTATATCAGCAGCTGAAAGGGACATTTATACCGGAGATGGAATTACAATTAAAATTATTACAAAAGATGGTATTACCGAAGAGAAGTTTGATTTAAGGAGAGATTAATTCATTTTCCTTATTATAATAAATTGTTTTTTTTTTCTTTTATAAATGTATTACAATTTTAATACAATTATAATATTGGATTTAGACTACTCTTTTAATATTAATATTAATTTTCATTCAATCCTACATTGTGAATTTTCAAAGTTATTTGTAATGAAAAATAGATTTTATAAAATAAAATTATTATAATCTATAGAGCATTGTCTCGTAAATTGAAAATAAATTAATATCTGCACGTTTTCACTATTCAAAAATAAAATGTCTTATAGTTAAAAATATAGATTAAGAAATTACAATTTTTATATGAATATAAACGAAAATAAATAAGTCTATTATACAATATCAAGATCTATTGTCTTTATCATATGGATTTATAATATAAATGTTTTTAATTTTTTTTATATATACTTAAGTATTGTCAAAGATATTAATGTGAAAATTAAAAATATTTTTATAAAAATTATTTCATTATAATGGATAATTCCATTTATTTCAAGGTAGGTATTTTGTAATGAATAACAAATTTAATTTATTTTAAGTAACTTAAGTAATTACATTTTATTCTCGCAATATTTGTATAAATTATGATTATCCTCACCAACTTATCAAGAATTAGTTGTATAAGTGTTCAAATTTGTGCAGGACCTGTTTCTTATAGAAATCCTATTCATAGACGACTAATACTCGATAATGAGTTATATTTAATATCTTACTTTTAAAATTTCATGTACAAACGTAATATAATAACCTATATAATTATAAAGCATAGCAAAATAACAAAAGAAAATAATAAACAAATAGATTGCATTGAAGATTCACTATTTTCACACGTGACTGTTTCATGGAAACAATTGAAAGGACAGAAAGACTTATGTTTTCTTTTTATTTTTTTTTTTTTTTTTTTTTTTTTTTTTTTTATTAATTATTCACCCGAAATTTATTTTTTTCCTCCTGGTGGTGGTAATTGCTGACCACGATCTTTTCCACGCAATTTTATACCAAGTACTTTCTCGATCTTGCCAATCACCATTTGGTTAGCGATACCTCGGCCAGCTTCATAGTCATTAATAACTTGTGTCTTTTCATTAACTTTCTGAAAGGTTACAATACAATTTAGATAAGTCAAATCTTCAACTAGCATAAACATATGGATATACATATCTATGAAACAGTGTTTAAACAAATTGATTACGAAAATTACCACTAATGTAGTTTATGAATGTTTATACCTATATCTCTATGTAATCAATGTTTCCCATTATGTACATGAAAATGTTTGAAAACTGATTAAAAACAAAAGAATACATTCATACAAGAAAATGTTGAGAAATACATATGATACGTTATAATTGTTTTCATTTTTCTAACGTATAGGAGTCCATTGAAAAATTTTGAGTTATCATAAATTCATAAAAAGAGAAAGCTATATTAACGAAAATAGGTTAAAACTGCATAAAAACTTTAGCTTAAAAATAATAAATATCAGTTATTTTCAGCCGATGTATATATATATATATATATATATTAATAAAAAAAGAAAAAATACAAAATATTAAACGTTTTGACAAACGGTTTTGTTGGGCTGCTAATTAGATAAATTATTGTTAATAAATGAATTAAAATCATCTATTTCTTACTGTTGCAAGATCCTTCTGAGACATCCCTTTGTTCTGTCTTCCTTGTTGAATTAGTTTTCCAAGATCTAAAGGAACTTTTTCATGTTTTAACTCTTCAGTTTCACGATCTAATTTGGCTGTATTTTTAGTAGTCACATGCTGTCTATTTGCACCTCCACCCCCTATGAACCAAGAATACAAATAAAAATATAATTATAGTAGTATAAATATATTGGAAAATTGAGTACTTAAAAATTAACTAAATAATCAAGCGAATCGGTTCTAATTGATATCTATTATTTTTTAATGTTAACTTTTTAATAAAATAAAAAATGATTATATATAGTTATAATCAAATGTAATAAAAAATTTATTATACAAGCTTAGTTTTATATCTAATGTTTATTATAATTAATATTATGCCTGGTTATAGTTTTAAATGTTCAATGCTATTTACGTTAATTTTTTTCGCTCTACAATAATAAATGTATTTGGTTAAATTGCAAAGAGAAATATATGAGTGTTTGCGTGTGTAACTAATATACAAATAATATAATAATAAATACTACAAATTGAGGATGATTCAACTAGATATATTCATTTATAAATGTACTTATTATTTTTAATTCAAATATTTAGGAATAATAACTGTTAAATATTTTAGAAAAGTGAAACAGTTTTGGTTATATGAAGCTACAAAATATGTATACATATATGCATATACATATATATAAATATATATATATATATATATATATATATTCATTTATATATTTATATATCGTTCATACATGCCTGCATACATGCATGCACACACAAAATATGTATACATATATGCATATGCATATATATAAATATATATATATATATATATTCATTTATATATTTATATATCGTTCATACATGCATGCACACACACATGATATATATATATATATATATATATATATAGTTTTAATAAAAGTATGCAGGTAATAGATATAGGGTTACATAATATATTCGAACATAATTTCGAATTAAAAACTAATAAAAAGATAAAAAATATATCCAATTGTCAGAGTCAATTAAGCACGTTAATTACATGTATTTTACTTTTGCAACTCGTTATGGAACAATTACGTATAATTAAAAGTAGGCGCATAAAAAGGAGAAAAAAGTCTTTGAACGTTTTGCAAGAGCGTTCTCAGTTAATGGCATACACTACGTGGAAATGTTGGCTTATTGTAAACATGCTTAAATTATGATCAGCATACAAGTCCGAAGTGTCAGAACACTAGATTTTTCTCTCCACGGTCGAACGTAAAAGAGAACTTACATTTGGCCTGAGTCTCCACGGCTACACCTTGTCGGCGTGCAGCATTCACCGCCTAAGGAACATAGATTTTTCATCACGTTACAAATATCCCAATAAATATTGGGTGGTGCGTCGATAGGGCACCGCGACCATCTCGTAAGTTGTGCGAAAAAGACTGCTTAATCGCAGTGTCAGTTTAATACACGCGATATAATCACGTTATAAGATTTACCTGCTCGGATTTCATTGCAGACGCTTTCGGGATACGCTTTCGCAAGGTTATCGGTGCAGTGTCGCAATACGACATGATTGCTTTAGGCTTTTATTTATTTATCCGTTATTACGGCGCGAAATTTTACCAGCAATTTCGTTGGCTTCAACGAACCAATTGACACGACTAAGAAAACAATCTATCAACTACTCCCGACTCGCGACTTTACACCACTTTTACACTTTCCAGATACTTCGATACTATACGGCTCAGCATTGAATTCGTCGAACGTTCTCAAAACAAATGCTTTCGGAACGCGCCAATTGGACGTTACCGCGTTTTTACGAACGTCCTAATTGACGATGTCGCGTCGTGGATTTTCTATTCCTCTGTATTCCTCTACCATATAATTTTTTTTATTAACGACCTTTTCTATTCGTCGCTTATCCTCTTTCTCTTTTCCTCTATTCGCTGCTGTTGTTTTACTACTGCGAGCTTAATTAAGCTTTCCGTTGACTTTTTATCTTCTTTTTTCTTTTGTTTCTTTTTTCTTTTTTTTTCTTTTTTTTTTCTTCATGGCGCGTAAATATGTTTTTCGAGGAGAAGGTTGGCCGAGCATTATTATAAAATTAATTGCCACGCTGTGGCGAATTTGAGGCAATGAATATTAATGAAATTATATCGAGGGAGTGAAAATTTTTTGTAGGCATTGAATTTATCGATTACGTTAGCGTGTACTTCTCCTCCGGCGACAATGGCGTGTTTTCGGGATCGTAACGTTGCAACGTCAATTCTTTCGGTATTTAGATTTTTTTTTTTTTTTACAATTGCATTTATAGAATTTTCTCTTTCGTTAATCGTTAAATTAACCATGAGGAGATAAGTTGCGTATTTGCGGAAGGCCAAATTTCTTTGGATTAATATACTTATTAGGGAATATATATATATATATATATATATATATATATATATATATATATATATATATATATATAAAAGATCACACACATAAAAACGTATATATATATATATATATATGAAAGATCAATCACATAGTAACGAGCAATTTAGGAGTCTTTTTTTTTTTTTTTTTAATGTCAAAATTCTATAATGTCATTGACAACTATTATAAAATATAAAAAGTATATTTCATGAGTTTTAGAAACAAAGATTCCTTAGTTATATTAGTAAGCAAAGATAGGTGAATTATATTACGTATAACGATATCCCTAAAGGTACATTGATAATTTTCGTATGAAATTAAATTTGAAAATTTGTAAGGGAAAATTAATTATAATGAGAGTAGGTGATAAGGAAATGAAAGTAATTGTTGAAAACTTCCTTATCGTTAATTTGCATTTTGGAAATAATATTTATTTACGAAAACTCATATGTATATTATTACTACGATGTAAAATTATTTCTGTTTTTTTTTTATGGATATGATATTTAAAAATATTTTATTGGATTAATATGCTTATACATTAAGATTACTGTGTCAAATAATCTGATAGGGTATATAAATTAATTAATTGTTGGTAAAAAAATTTATCATAATTATTTTGTTTCCAATAATTTGAATTTATCTTGTACTTAATTTTTTTAAGAACTATAATACAACTTTTTTATTTGTTAATATTAATATAAAACACGAATGTCTGTTTTGCATCGCAATAAGTTAATCTTATATTTGTTATACTTATTATTATTTAGACCTTACGTTTTGATTTTAATTGAAAATTTCATATTTATAAGATCGGTCGTTAATTAATACTTATACTTCATTCATCGAATTTATTAAACAATTTGTTTTTATTCGATTCTTTGTATCTGCGTATACATATACAAAAAAAGACTAAAATGATTAATAGGCATTTTCATTAAATTTTTTATACTGCGAACGTTAGCACGAATAATTTTTTGTTATACTTTGCCAATATTATATGTATTAACTATGAATGCTATTTTTATGTCTGACAATTAATCTGGAATTACATACATTTTATTTTTGTCGGTGGTATCGTATATTTTTAGAGTATTAAATTAGCTTATGATTACTGTGAAAATTGATATTATTTCATTAATAGAACGTCACATTAAATATAAGCACTTGCTAATGATAAGTAAATATTTTGTATTTACTATTCGTAAGAAAAATACTCAACGTATTGAAAGTTAATTTTCGTTGTTACAAATAAATACGCACACGAATGCACATGCATGCCACACGCATATACACAATATATGTATACGCACCCTCATTTGTACACATTAGTTACGACGAAGTATCAATATATATTGATAAATTAATATTAATATGTAAATGTACATCGAAATTAACAGCAAACTGTGACCGATGAATTTTCCAATTCACTGTATAACATAAATTAATTTAATATATGTTTATTTCATTTTTGCATTAATAAATGGTACGTATTAATTTGCAAATAACAAGCGAGCATATTTTTTATAAATTAGAAAAATAATTACTGAAAAGACTTTCAAAACCTTGAATGATTTAATTAATAATAATTAAAGAAAAAAAAATTATACATATTAATATGGATATATTATAGAGTTTTTCAAAATGAAAAAAAGAAAATTCGATTTATTATTATTGTATGCAAATTTTTCTATTCTATTTACGTATTTTAATTTGAATTTTCCATATTCTTTGGAACTCGACATTTATTTATATACATTGTAATAAAAATATAATATATAAAAGATTCGTTACTTCATTAAGTAACCACTTTTAAATTCAATTCAACAATAATTAAAATTCTGGCTTTTATATTTAAATTTTCATTTAATTTTAATTTTAACCAATTTCAAACTACCTACTGCTAATTATAATTACTTAGCATAATTCCCTGAATCGAAGAAGTATAATGTGTAATATTCATTTATTTGCTAATTCATTAATTATTTTATTAAATACATGAATTAACGTTAACTATTAGACATATATTTGTTATTTCAGCCTTATTTTTTTACTATAGAATCAAACAAACTATTAAATTTTTATTTTAAAAATAATAATATAACAATTTTATATGCATGGTAATGAAAAAATAATGTTGATAATGTGAATGCATATAGGCAATTTCACATTTCAATTCTTGTAATCAATTTATTTCTATCCATACAAAAAATATTTTTATTCGTTGAATATTGTGCAAAATTAGCCAGTGTATTTGTTATAACCTTATCAGGATATACAAAATTATCATAAGCAAGTGACGTTAAATAATTGGTTTTTGCATTATTATTTTAGTGTCACTGAACTTCCCACATTATTTGTTTTTTTTTTGTATTATTCAGCATTATATATTCCTTTTGTGCTATATAAAAATTAACTTTACAACTTATTGTTAATGTTAATAACAGCAGTTCTTATTAACGACAAAATTTAATGTAAAAATAAATAAAAAAGAAAATATATATATATATATATATATATATATATATATATATATGAATATAATATCCTAAAATTATAGAAAGTTTTAAATAACAATTAATTAATTTTGTGACAATTAAAATTAAAATAAAATTAAACAATTAAAATTTTCTTTACATTTAAAGTTCAGTATTATTAATTAATAATATTAAAATGATGGTGCATGTGTAATAATTCAAGTTTTATTCAACATGAATACATAATGAATATCTTACGATTTACATTTTTTATATTTATTCGAAATAAATCTGTGTAGAGCATTTTTTGAACTTAGATATATTTGAAATATTATCCACCTAAAGTGAGAAAATGAGAATCCAGTCGTTTCAAACTTCAGAGGTTTGACGCTTGTCGAGTAATTTGATTCATCCAACTTCGCTGCAAATACAATTATTTTATTTCATAAAATACCAGTTAATTATTATGCTTTCTCGTAGGTTAAACCTTGCTATGCGGCTTTCGCCGCATCGAGTATTTATGAAAATTATAGCAAATAATGTTACAACGGCGATTGAACAAGGTGAATATTAAAATATTCGATGTTGTTTTTATAATTTAGGTTAGTTTAAAGTAGAATTTAGTTTAGGTAATGTGCGATCTTTATATTTATCAATACTAAAGTATTGTTTTCTATTTTAAAATAAGTATATAATATATGCTATTTGCAATAATAATTTTTACAATTAATTGTTAATTATTTCTTTATTTAAAATTAGATGATTATAAGATTGAATGAATGTATTTGGAGTGTTGGAATTCATTACAGTATTTAGAAATTTAACATTCTTCTTTTTGAAATTCTAATGTTTATACATGTTCTTAAAAACGATTTATATAAAATAATTGTAACTTAGTTAGTTTATATAATAATAATATTTTTCAAATGATTTTTTCAAGTGACTGCTTATGATAGAGATCCAGCTCCATATTTTTTTGATCAAGAGGTACAGAAGCTTCTACAAATTTTAACACGTCCAATTCCTGAAAAAGTCTTTCGTCCACGTATGAATGGTGTTAATATAACAACTCCAGAATACAGATTTATGACGAATGAAGAACTTGAAATTGCACGCAAGGAATCAGAAATAAAAATGTGGGATCTTTTACAAATACCTCCAATTGTTAAAATAAGAGAAGAAGATATTAGAATTTTATCTAAAGATCCAGCTATACAGGGATATACCGATGCAAAACATGTTTTCACTGATATAACGTTTGGAGTGTCAAATAAATATCGTTTAATCGTAGTTAGAGAACCGAATGGGATCTTAAGAACTGTGACGCACACCGAGAGAGATAGGTTAAACCAAATATATTTTCCAATACCTGGACGTGAAATAGAAATGCCTAAAATGTTCGAGGAAGAACATTTGAAGGTATTACTTATAATAGTTTTATCATAATATAGTTTTATCATTAAATTTAATTTTTCAATTTTCAATAAATATTTATATATTTTATAAACTAGTACAGTAATGTAGTCTTTGTAGTAATTTAATATTTAAATCATGAGTTTTTGCAATTGTTAATAGAACGAGTAAATGTATGTAATTGGATTAAATAATTACTTTAATTGAAATACACATGATGGGGTATTTCTTAGTGATAATAAACCAATCTATCTTTCTTTTTAAACAGCTCATATTAGATAGAGAGGATTATGAATTTATTTTGGATCGAGCTTGTGTACAATTTAATCCAGATAATAGTGAATATCACAGAGTGACACAGAGAACTTACGACGAAGTAAACAAGAAACAGAAGTATGATAAATTAAGATCAACTAGGCATTACGGATCAATGATATTTTATTTAGCGTGGAGCAAAAATTTAAACAATTTACTGCTTGAAAATATAGAAACAGGCAAGATTGAAGATGGTGCACTAGCAATAAAACTGTATTATATTTTAAATGTAAAACAAAAAGAGAATTTAAAAAATAATGACGTTGATATAATAGAAGATTTTATAAAGAATGAAACTAATATGAATTCAAAATTGGTAAAAGCTTTGGAAAATTATAAACAGATATCGGAAGCACGTGAAAAATTACAGAGTAATATAGAAAAGATACACCAAAATGCTGAAATAAATAATTAATAAACAAGAGTATTAATATTTTTCCTTAATATTATTGTTTGCACAGACTCAGTATAGGCATATATGTATACGTGTTTGCGAGCGTATGTGTGCATACGTGCGCGCGTGCGGTTTTAATTAATTTTTTAATTAATTAATTGTTTTATTAACATTATTTTCTTTTTTATATTTATGAACAATCTGATTAAAGTAATGTTTAATACTATTTGAATGTAAAGTGACAAATGCTACAAGGTACCAAAAAATTAAAAAATTTTCTACCCAAGCAGTTTGTTAAAGGTTTTAATTTATTTGTTATTATTAATAATTATTTTTTGCTTATAAATTGCATTTGTTTAACTGATCTTTACGTACGTAATTTGTCTTATAATATATTAATGTATTATATTAACATATACATAGTATGCTTTATATGTGTACTTGTGCTTACATATGTACATATTATTCCGTCATTATTATACTATATAGAAATAGAAAATAGAAGTAGAAAATACAAAATATTGAAAATTAATAGTTTTTCAATTGTTGTATATTTATAAATATAATAGTAGCTTAAGACCACACTATATACTAGTATAAGATTCGTACGATTTTCCATTTCATTTAAATTTCTTTTTATTCAATGGTTTTTAACAGATATGATTATATTACATATTATTTATAATAATACTTTCGATAATGATTTAAGCAATAATCTTCTTAAAATATTGATTTGAAGGTAAAAAATTTTGAACTATAATGTTTGACGTACGACCGATGATAAGACATTATATTATTTTTAATCTACGATAGATCTCGAACAATATTTATAAATTATTATATTCAATTATATTTGATATATTTTAATTAATTATTTTAAGATTTGGTACTGAAGTAGAACTTAATAATCTTTAGCTTTCCCTATCTGATTATATATTGAAGTTTAATATATAAAATACTAAAGTTTAGCTTTTGAAAACTTTAAAATTATGTTTTTAATCAAGATATAATATTAAACATTAATTTATAAATTTTTTAGCAATATATGAATTCTAGAATTAATAATTAAGACTACATAATTATTCAAATTTATTTGCATTTTACAAATAAAGCTAATTTCTGGTCTGTACAGAGCAATTTTATGATTTTGGAAAAGTGAGGGAGCACTGTTGATTATTCCTGAAAGATGATAAATATGAATATTTTAAATCCGTCTACTCTCTCACTTTTTCTCCTAATGAAGAATTACGAGATAGAATTTACAGCGTATCACGGTCGTATACGAAGCAAAATTTGTTTTTTTTTAATGAATATAATGCAGATGTCCGCTTTCCGACATCTAAAACGATGAAAAACGATTTATTTTTTATTTTTTATTTTTTTTATCTCGTATCGATTTAGAAAAGAAAAGATGTGTAACATGTACATTGCTTATAGAGTATAATCTGTGAAACTGATTGTGTTCTCATTCCATCCATTGCTTTCATATAAGCATTAGATGTCGATATTTTGAAAAATTTCATATGTATAAGCTCCTCTACGAAATGAATCATCGGATTGAAATTGGGAATATTGGATGAGTGAGTGGATCTTTTCTCTGTTTGGCCATTTGTGTTAGAGCTTTAAATTTACTCTGTTAAGCCAATGGGATCAACAATAGTAGTATGTATGTACTTTGTATTATTATAAGTAGTATGTATTATTGTCTTGCAGTTAAGAAATTTCAGATATGCAGATCACCTTTAATAAATAAATTAAATAAATTATAAATTATTCATTAAAATATTATTCATTCAACTATTATTTTTCATTAAACATTATTATTCATAAAATAGTCCCTTTTTTCTGCAAATTTTAAATGGAAATCTTTTATTACATTTCTCATAACCGTAGTACCAGCAGACTTTCGAATGAGGAAAATTGAGTTATATATTCGAAATAGTTTTAACACCCTTAATGCTATGAGACGAAATAAGGCTCTTTTTATTACTTTTTATAGTTATATCTGAGAAATTGTGTTTATTTGAATCTTATTGTGTCTTTAGTACCATCCAATGGGCCTTAGTCACTGTGTTTCGATTTTTCAACTGATGGAGCGGTGAGTTAGTAACCTCTGATTAATAAATTAGATTATTGCAGTTGTTCTTATAAGATTTCTAATGGGATAGTGCCAGACGAACATTATGTTGTATTTCAACCACCGAAATATTGATACGAGCGGTTCTTGTAGGGTATATCAAAGGTATATGGTTAATTTATTCAACAAGATAGCTGCATATTGTTACACTTTTGGTAATTACAGTTTAGAAACTCTTATATATATTACAGAATATATGAGCTACAAAATTGTTGATGTATTAGCGGAAAGCCAACAGCAAATTTGAATAATTTTAAACAATGTTTTATAAACCCTTTTTTTAAAGAATTATGTGAATGTTTTATTTTCTCTGATTAATTAAAATTGTATAACAATATATATATATATATATATATATATATATACAGTTACAGAATAGAATAATATTGTGATGTAATAGAGTAGTATTAAACATTATTATAATTATCATAAACAGAAAATGATTTCTTCATGATAATTATAAAAATTTTTAATATATTTCGTTCATAAAATAATGTACCAAATTATTTAATAAATATTGTAATAAAAATATGAATCTTTTATTACTTATGAAAAATAACTTAATTCATTTCAAAAGTTATTATAAATACAATATAGAAAGTAAGTTAGATTTATTAATTTATTCTTGATAATAAGAGTTGTTTATAAAAATATGAACAATTATTTGTATGTATAAAACATCATAACTAATGTTTCCATCATCTTCATTCGTTTTTAATGATTTTTAATACAAAGTTCGAAGATTTTTATAATAAATATAGTATATGAAAAAATAGTTATGTTTATTTTATAGATTATATATATATATATATATATATATTTGATTACCTAAATCTTTGGTAATACAGGCATATTGATTAATTATAAAATATTTGAATTATCCAAGTAGGTAGGAAAATGTTACATACTGCAAGTCTAAATTAATCAATGTTTAAGTTAATAATATTAAATTCAAATAAGTATATTTAATCCCTTTATTTGAAGTTTACAAATAATATATATTTTGAATGTAATTATCAAAGTGAAAATATATTTAAGTAGTTAATAATATATTATAGTATTCAAAGTTTTGGTTTTTCATAAAACTAAGTATAATTCATTTAAACCACAATGAATTAAGTATAAAAGTATTATTTGTTTTGAGGAAAAAAAAACTTAATTTATTAAATTGTTATTTTAAATAAAAGTTAGTTTGATTTATGTATACATACATTTGTTATTATTATAAGTAATTTGTATTCTTTTGGAAATTGAATTGCGCCATTCCAACATGCAAGTGTAGTTTATTATAATGTACCACTAAAAACTAAAGTAATTATATATATTAAAAAAAAATTTACATAATTAATTATTACACTTTCAATAATTTAATAATTTTTTCTTTTACATTATTTGAGTATGTTCAATTTACAATTTACAATAAAACTTTTATCATGTTATTCATGTAATCTATAATCTTTAAATCAAAATTCTAGAATGAAAATAAAATTCTGAAGTAAAATTTAAATCTTGATAATTGATAATTTCAAAATCGTATTATGTTATACATTTTTATTCTTTATATACTGGGATTTTCAATTTCCGATATAAAAAATTTCAATAAATGACTATCGTAAAGGTCAAATATTTTCGAAAATACTAATATATTAATGCAACATGATAATAGTAGTACATTTTTAATTATTTTAAGTATAGGAAACGAAAAAAAGTAAAATTAGCCACGAAAATCGGAAAGTTATATATAGATAAATATAGCATTGATATTATTTTAGTAAATATTATTTAAAGCATATAAAAACTTCGTATGTGCAATTTCATTTTCGTGAAATTTTAACAGGTGATGCATAATATTACAGTGATTCAGTATCTAAAGAAAAATTTGATAAGTTATGTAACTTTTCCTTCTATAAAGTTTGCAAAAAATCATTGCATGTTGATATTATTGAATTTAATATCTTTACGTATTTTAATTCAACAAATAATAAATTCAACCACATAGTAATAGCAAAATGTTTATGTAATATTTAAATAAATAAAAAGTAAATTTTTATTAATTAGGGATCTTAAAAAATCGATTCAATTAAATCCTTTCAATGAAAATTATAAAAAGCACTTATAAACACATGTAAGTAATAAAATCGAGTTGATTTCATAATTACTAAACAGATATTTAAGATAAATATGATACTTTCATACTAAAAGATTCATTATAAAAGAGCCAAGAACAATAGAATAGTTAGAATAATGTTAAAGATTTTTTTAGTTTTTTTTTTTTTTAATAAAATTAATTAAATTATTTATATATTTAAATACAAAAAATTTTTATATTTCATTTTTATGTACTTTTTATTGAACTCTTTAGTATATTCAAATGGTTGTCAAGAATGACCATAGAAAAATAAAAATTATATTTAATATTTCCGAGAAAAACTAAGAATTGGAGATGAATTATATATTTTCAGTTGCATAGCTTTTATTTAGTGTTTTCTTAATTTATGTATTAAAAAGATAAAGTATTTTTGGTGTATAAAAAATGATGTGTAATGTATGCCCTAAATATGCATTTATTTAGTTTATATGGTTTATATAGTTATGGGTTTGGTTTCAATTGAGTTTTATCACAATATTATATCAAAGGACGTACGAATAATTATTAAAAAAAATTGCTTGGAGGATGATTGACGGTGTCAATAAAGTGTAAGGTACAGTAATGAAAATATTAACATATATAATCCTAATAATCTATGTAATTTTAGAAAAGTTATTTAAAAATCAAGAAAAATGAAGTGGCAAAATTAAGTTTTAATGTACTGTAGCTTTTGAAATAGCAATAAAAATAAAATTTTGTTCTAATATAGTAAATATACTTTTAGCTAAATCGAAATCTAACTTAGAATTATATTTGCATTAGCTAATTATGAATAATTAGCAATTATCAAATTACATAGATTCAATTGTAAACAGATATATATATATATATATATATATATATATATATATATATATATATATATATAAAATTAAAAAAAGGAATTAATATTTGAATACTTCAAACGGGAATATAGTAATACATACGTATAATTATAATAATAGACAATAGGTTGAAAATATAAGATAAACGATTGAAATGAATGTGTACTTATTAAATTTATTTAATATTTTCTTCACATATTTAG